ATAATAAAATATTATTTTAATGGAGTTAAAAACTTAAAATAATATCCAATTGTTAATTTTGCAACTAACATAAGCATGTAACATCATAAATAAAGTTTATTGTCCGATTCTACCTAACATGCACAATCAGGTTAGCATGATTGTAATTAATTACACCATTATTTGCATTAACTTTTTATTTTATAAGTTATAGATTACAAAATTATTTTTTTTATAATAATAGAAGTTATATATATAATACCATTTCATCAAACAATTCAATCCATCCTCCATTTTTTAATATTATTCGTTAGCTACTTTTATTTTGAGAAGTGGATAGTTTATTTTAGACAAATTGAACACACAACAATGGGAAATTCTAATACCAATTCGGGTTCGAGTTGTGGTTCTGGTTCTAGTTCTAGTTCTAGCTCTCGATCTCGTTCTAACCTGAAAATTCTTTTCGTTGAATCAGAAAGAGAGCTTATTGGTATAGACTTCAAGCAACTTCTACTTCAACCAAAATGGACTACAACACATGTTCCTAACATTGCTCCAGTCTATGTGAAGATGAACCTTATGAACTTGTTCAAAGGAAAAAGCATTGTGGGGATGAAGCATGTGACATTGAATTCCAATGTGTTTTTGATTGGAGGTGAAAGCTTAGAGTCTGGGGCTATTCCCAACAAGGATTATGTTACCAACCATCCAGACTCATACCTTGGATCTTCTAATCGAGTCTTACAATTATCATTTGAAAAAAACACGTTTAGTCTAAAGCGTACATCACGAATCAAAAAGTTTCTTTATGGAAAATGTTCTCCAATGGTTGAAAACATTAATGGTAAAATTTATGTGCTTGAAGGGATGCCATATCTTCACAATCATCATCGTAATGGTCCTTTTGAAGTTTATGAGCCAGAGCAAGACTATTGTAGAATACTAAATGATCCTCCTCCTTATAAAAGTTACCCACAAGGGAAAATAGATGGCCATTTTGTTTTGGGCAACAAGTTCATTGTGTTTGAGAAAAAATCTAATGAAACAATAGATGGTTACTTCTTTGATACACGTAGGTGTTGTGGGTGGGAAAGATTAGACCCAAATGTGATTTCTTTTTTTGCACAAGCTGGTTTACCCCTTCCTATTAATGGAATGTGTGTGCCATTTTTTCCCCAACTTGAAAATTATGGAGTTGAACTTGTTCTTTCACGAAGAGGAATAGAAGAAACTCATGCCCTGCTCATTAATGCATCTTCAAGTTCACTCCTGTTTTATCAACCTTTAAGAGAAGTTTTCCACAATCGTTTTCCCCTTACAGAAACTGGAGAACGCGTCCATTTGAATAATGGAAGGAACTTTTTCTTCAAGCTTCCCAACAATCAAGTTTGTGCTATTTGGATTGCATTTGATCACCATAAAATGTTACGTCTTTTTGTAACAACGTTTGCTCTCGAGTTTTGCTTCAATCCCATGGTCGAGACTTCACTCCATTTACCTCCTTCTGCTCCAACACACAAAATCTTCTTAAAAGCTTCCAACATTCATAATTGGGATTGTGTGGTGACCAGAGATGGGGTATCTTCAAATCATATATTCGATGCATTCTTCTATGAAAAGTGAAAAATATTAGTTTATAATAATTAGAAAATAATAGGATTTTATTTATGATAATTTAGAAAATTTTATATTAACAAATAATCTATGTTTACATAAGATTTTACTCAAATTTTTTACTTTCTTGTTTAATGTTTTCTGCTTGTACAGTGAATATTTAAGTACTACGTGTAAGTTTTGATTTGAGCATAGTATCAAAATTATTTAAAGTTCTACATAATACATTTATTTTTAAATATACCTAAAGGACAACACTAAAATACTTTTTTATCTAATTCGTAAGCATTGTTTTTCTCGTAACAATCTCCCTAATCATATTAATTACAGTAAAAAAATTTTTAAAATATATTAATTTGTCATGAATTACCATAACTTTTAACTTATATCATAAATTTTGTTTTGATCTCAATGTATAACAAAAAAAATTTCTTTTATTTTAATCTTTCAAATGATTTTTTTTATCGTTGTCCTCTAGGTATCAACTTTTTTTTATATCGATCTCTATAGTTTAAATTTTTCATAAAAAATTAAATTAAAAAATGTGTTAACTACAATAGAAAATTTTTGTAGATCCAATCTCTTGTTAGTGAATTCATCGTACAAATCACTATTTTTTATGAGCTTTTAGATCTGCTTGTAACATATCTATAGAGTTCTTCTATGAAGGATTGAATAATTGAAGAAATTTCGTGCTACCCAATGATTAAATTTGTAATAAATCAATTATGTTTGATTATAAAATGCTACATATATTTTTGTAATGGCATTTCTCTAGGGTTGTAGTTTGATCCTGTGGCTAAGTCTTTGCCCACTTTACTTCCTCCCTGTCTAAAAGAAAAGAGCACATTTTAAAATTTTTCCAATTTTAAATTATTTATAATAAATTAAATTCAATTTAATGTAACCACTTGTATAAAATAAATGTACAATAACACAATGCTCATAATACTTAATTTAGATTAGTATTAGAATGACAAAATAAGAAACCAATTCATATATATATTTATCATTTTAAATTTATCATATTCATGTGCATTTAAATTTGGGTAAATATATTCGTGTGAATTCAAATTTACATATACTTTTAGATATTAAATTAAACCTAATTACTTTTTCGTTTAATAATACCTATTTTTATTATTGTATGAAGCCATCCATGTGATAAATTTTGCATACTTAACAGATATCATATTTATTTGAATTTTCAATATTTAATTACGTTATTATATTTTAATATAATTTTCTTCACAAAATGAAATATTTAAATTTAAAATAAATTATAGTAATTTGGTTACAATAATAACCATACATAAATTAATAACATTAATTATTATATATTTATTATATTGGTATGCATTTCAATCTAGTTCTTTTAAGTATATTTTTAAACTAAATTTATTTTATATAATAAATAGTACAATTATAATATATATATTTTTAATAGGCTAATTTTGGTTTTTTTTATCCTTTCATGTCTCATTTAACAGTTTTTTTACTCAATTTAATTATCTAAGTTTAATTTAAGTTTTATTTCAGTCCTTTAACCTTTTCTTTCAATTTATTTTAGTCTTTTAAGTTTTTTTAATAAAATAATTATTTACTTTTGTTTCGTCTTTTAACTTCAAAAAAATTAAAATAGCAAACTTTTGATTAAGAAATTTTGTTGTGTTGCATTTTTTTTATGCATTTTACTATTAAATTACCATTCAAAACTTTCAAATCATCATTAAAAATTTCTTTAAACACTAAAATATCCTTCAATCTATACAAATCAAAAGATGAATCAAAATTAGTGAAACATTTTAGCAAAAAAGAATAATTTAGAAGACCAATTGAATTTGAAAAGTTAAAACATTAAAATGAAACTTAAATTAAAGTTAGAAGATTAAAATAAATAAAAAATTCAAAGAATAAATCAAAATTTTAGTTAAACACCGAGCACGAAAAGTATAAATTTAAAATAAGTTATGGCAATTTACTTACGATAATAACTATACATAGAATTAATAAATTAATTATTATATACATTTGTCATTTTCATTTATATTTATTATATTAGTGCACTTACATTTAGTTCTTTTTCAAGTAAAATTTAAAACTTAATTTATTCTACTTAATAATAATAATATCGATAAAAAATTTTAGTGCACATTTTAATATGCATTTCAAAATATTAGAATGATAATAATAACCATTTTTAGTATTAACTTTTTAAATAGCTTTTACTAATATAAAAAAACGTTCATCTAATAAATATATTCTTAATCAATAAATAAAATACTTAATTAGAATGTTAGCATTTAATTGATTTATTAACATATAATATAATATGATATTTTCTCTTTAAATTAATTATTTATTACATTTAATTAACATAACATTAAATACTAATTAGTAATATATCATTTTTTATTAAATTTGTTAAATATAATAATAAATACTAATTGGGCCTGAGAAATGGTTCCTTTGAAGTTGATGAGCCTGAGAAAGAATATTGCAGAATCCTCAGTGATCCTCTTCCCTATAAAAGTTACCCCCAAGATGAAATAGAGGGTCATTTTGTTTTGGGCGACAAGATCGTTGTGTTTGACAAAATAGATGGATATTTTAGAGATGAAGTTCACAACGTTCGTAATTGGGATTCTATGGTAACCACAGATGAAGCATCTTCAACTCATATATTTGATGCTTTCTTATATGAAAAGGGATTAAGATTAGTTTATGGTATTTTAGAGATAATAAGATTTTATTTGTAATAATCTAGCAGTTCAGTTTATTTATGAATACACATTTAATTTTTCTCGATATACTTAATTTTGTGTTTATTTACAAACATATAATTTACTACTTAAAAAGTAAGGTAATATAGCTAATTAACAACTACAAAATAAAATAAGTTTATAACTTTCAAAAGTTAACTTCAAAAAATTTAGCTTATAATTACCAATAAAATTTTTTATTAACTATAAGTTATTAATAATAGCTAATGTAAGTTAATATGTCATATGCCTCATTTATGTGTTAGCAAAACAACGTATTTTCAATATAATTATATTTATATTTTAGTTTTTTTTAACTATTTTACAAATTAAAAATATCAAGTTATTAACTATTTATAATAAAAAAAAAGTGTTTATAATGTTTAGATATTAACTTTTAAAAAAATTAAAATAACATTTAGCCCATTATTATGAATAATGTTATCTCATTTTTATTTTTATTATTTTAAATAAATTACACATAAATACAAAATTATAAATCTTACATAATTTAATTTTAATATTATAATATAATATTATATATATATTTAGTTATTTGAAATTTTACTCAAACTTTCAGCTAATTTTATCATCATGGCCTGAAGGGTGTTCATCGTTTAGATTTGAAAATAAAAGATATTTATTAATTCGAAAAAAAAAATTGGTGAATGAAAATTGCACTAAATGGGTGTGTGCATGGTGCTGAAGAGATACAGAGGCAGGATAAAGAGTGTATCTAACAGCGCTGAGCTCTGATTTGAAGCAATGGAGAAAGTAGACGAAACCGAAGAAGCATCGCAAGATCACCAGAAGTGGATAACGTAACATTCCTGCATCCTACAATTGAAACTCTTATTTGTTGTGATGATTAATATTGATATCTAAGATCTAACTTGGTTTTCAATTTCAGTGCAGAAAACATTCTGAGGGAAAAGTTGATAACTGAGGAGAGTTTGGGATGGGAATTACCGAGCAAAAGCACAAGCACAATAACAGGTTCAGGATTGAGATACGTTGGTGGGGTTGACATAAGCTTCTCAAAAAATGACCCATCAAAGGCATGTGGTGGCCTTGTAGTGTTGGACTTTCACACTCTGCAAGTTCTCTATCATGATTTCTCTTTCCTCACTCTTCAACTCCCTTATGTCCCTGGCTTCCTTGCTTTTAGAGAGGTTTCTTTTTTTTCCATTTCATATTTATTTTTTTGGGAGAATATGACACTGTTATATATAGAATTATAAAATACAAATAATTAAGGAGGATCTACAATTTAATAATTTGTCTATAGACATGATTTATGATGGAATGTTATACTGTTGTTTGATGGACCCGGATTCAGTGCAGTCGAATGTAAAGTATTTGTGCTTTGCAATTTGTACAAATTATGTATGATTCAAAATGCAATGTACTGGTACTTTACAATTACCGCACCAACAGCACCATTTTTTGACTGAATCTGAATTCGTTGCTCAATTCATGTAGTTGACCCTACCTAGTGTTAGGCTGTTGTTGTTTCTAAAATGTTTGTTTCGGCTATTATATTTATTGCCCCTATAATTTTAGGCACCGGTTCTTCTACAGCTTCTAGAGAAAATGAAAAGGAGTGATAATCCTTTCTACCCTCAGGTAAATGTTGTATTTTAAGTTTTTAACATAAGAAAATTCATGTGAATTTGATGCCTTTGAAACTTGCTCCTTTTTTCTTTATTTGGTACTTTCATTGCTGATGCCAATCTTGTTAGCTGCACTAAAAACTCAGATATGCAGAATTCTAACGGATTGATAACTATTTTGGATTTGTTTTAACAAATTCTGATGTTTTCGTACCTAAGTTTCACCATCTGAATAGAAGGTTGGTTTGATGTTTGTTGACAGTTGTTAATGGTTGATGGAAATGGAATACTTCATCCCCGAGGCAAGCACTTTATACACAAACATTTTGTATCCCTCTTAAATAGTCATTCACCATTTTTTTCTCCTCTCAACAGTCGTACATTTGAACTTTGTTTTTATTAAATATGACATTCACAAGGTACTCCTATAATTATTCAATTTTTGTGCATTTGTTATTCTCAATTGCTTTGCTGGACTAATGGGGTATTGGATCAAACATTTTCCATACTTAATGTAAAGGCTGGCTGTTGCTTCAATATTTGATCAATTTGCGGCATTGACTAGCAATTGATGTTCGGTGCAACTGAAAAGGCAACAAGCACTAAGTTTCACTTGTCATAGGAAATTACTCCATTGATGATTACAGTTTTAGGGAATACGTTATACATCCCAGCTAAAGTACTTTTTTATCACTCAATTTCCAATGTTATAGCCTTTTTTCTTATCAATCATAACTGTCCTGAGAAAGTTGGAAGTCATTTGAAGTTCTTCTGAATTAAATATTATAATGATTTAACATTTAAGTTTCTATGTCTAACATGGGAAGTCTCTAAACCTTTAACTTTATCAGGTTTTGGGTTGGCATGCCATATTGGAGTTGAGGCCAATCTCCCAACAATTGGGATTGCAAAGAATGTTAGTATTGATAGTATCACTTATTGCTCTGTATGCTGTGTCACAATACAAGCCTTTTATAGATTTTCACTCGCTTCTGTAGCAATTCAGAGATTCAATAAGAATTAGGAAGCATTAAATAGGTGCCTGAATTCTTTAGCTTTATATGTTCCAGTTGCATCATGTGGACGGTCTTAATCAATCTAGAGTGAGAAAACTTCTTGGAGCTGAAGAAAACACTTCTAAAGATTTTATTAATTTGGTGGGTAATTCCGGGCACATATGGGGAGCGGTAAGAATTTGAACTAATGGCACTCCACTTGTCCTTATTTGTTATAATAATGATGATGCTGGTGAATATATGCCTTTGAAAAAAGGCTGTACTATCTTGGAAAATAATTTAATAAATGTTATCAAGCCTAAACTTAGATTAGGCTGTTAAAATTTAGTTTCATGTGTTTATGCACTTTTATCTATTGATATATTAATTCTGCATGCTTACTTTTTTTTCTTTTCTTGCCAAACTTATGTCCAGGCCATGAGATCAACACAGGGATCCATAAAGCCAATATATATATCAATTGGTCACAGGATATCACTTCAGACGGCAATTATGATTGTTCAAATGACTTGCAAGTATCGTGTGCCTGAGCCAATTAGGCAGGTAAAACACTCTGCCGTCTAAGAACATGTAAAATCTACCTAAATTTCATATAGATGTATATATATGCGTTTTGCCACCATTAAAGATTAAAAGAAAGGAATACATGAACCAGACCAATAAAAGGAACATTTATGCATTGTGCTTCTAATCCTTTATCCCATATTATGCTAATATTAACTCGTTCGGAAATTGTTGCCAGTCTTTCGTTATAGACCACGTTGTACAGTAGCATTCACCAGACAATTGCGGCTTATGTATTATAATCTGAAGACACCGTAGCATATATCCTATTAAGCTACCCATTAACTCTTGTCTATAAGTTGTTGGTAGTTTATTGTGATAGGCCACTTTGTACTTAAGAATTCACTAGAAAATTTGCAGCTTAGGTGTTATAGTCTAGAGACATGTTAGTATTGGCCGATAATCTATGATCTATCGAATGTTTCTGTATCTCATTTATTAATATCCTTATTACAAAAGTTGAGAGTGTCACATGCTGTTTAGCTAGACTGGTTTATTGATTCCCAATGTGCTGGTCAATACTTATTTCGATTAAATGTTTTTACTTCACTGAGTTTTCCATCATATAACTTCCGCTCAAAACACTCTTTTCTTTTAAAACAAATATATTATTCACTGGCTATATTCCAATTCTCAGTTACGAATGTAAATCAAAGTATCCAGTCCTTACCCCTCTATTTGAACTGCAGGCTGACATAAGATCTAGAGATTATATTCGGAAGCTGGAAAATGCCAAAGAAAAGTTATTTCACTGATATGGTACATCACTATTAACTTTTAACATTTCTTTCCTCATTGCTTCTTGAACACCTAAAGGCAGATCTGTACTAGCTGCATCCTACATGCTATCATGAACTACAACACTGGGAAGGCGTGTAAGTGATCACAGCAACGTTAATCTTCAACTTAAGAAATGTCAAGTGAATGAATTCCAGGTTATGAATATGCTTCCAAACCATATATTTTGACGTCCATAAAAGTCTGTCATCTGATACAATTTTAATATCTAACTTTGGATGATACAACCTATTGTTTTTCCGGTGCCTCTAGCACCCTCCTAATTCTCAGTATGGATCTTGATGTCTTGAAAACTTTTGTTCCGCACTACACTTTGTAATGCTATAGAATTTACGTGGGTCCCTTTTTATTGATTTTCTTGTTTTATCTGTAAATCTCTTTCAGGTTTAAGTTTTCAACCATTTAAACAATGGCATAGCTATGTGAGATGATAATAGTAAGTTTGGCTATTTGGCTGCAAGGGACACGAATGAACTTGATTGAACCATCACAAACAATTCATCAAGTAGTCAGAAATAAACAGGAACCATCCCATCCATTAGTGAAATTATATCTAAACCGTCCATAAAAAAAAAAAACTACATTCAACCAAATCCCCCCCAAAATAGAACAATCAGCCGGCTAACAACCTGAATTTTCGTTTCTTGTTGCTTTGATTGTATGATTAGCAACTCCTGAAAGACCTCAAGACCAGCGATGCTTGTCTAAAAGTTCTTGAGCCATGTATTTGACGTTATTAAATTGTGTTGATTTTAAAAGACGTGTATTTGAGAAAGTGCCATAGCTGGAGCATCATTTGCCATATAGAATTTTCAGATATTTTATTTTTGTCTTATAAAGTAACGTAGCACGTTTTCTCCTCTCTCTTGTTAAAAATATTACTTAGTAAATAATAAGATTTATTTAGGATTCTCATCCCACTTTTTTTATTTTCGCATCCTTTACGATATTACTGGTTTTCTCTCTTGTCTAATTCTTTGTACACATTTATTTATGAGTAATGATACACATAATGAATTTTACAAAAGCTTTGATAACCAATTCTTTTTCTCTATCTCTCCGTTACATCAGTTAGCTTATCTGTCATTTCTCTTTTTACTCTTTCTTCCTCTCGTAAATTGTAAAAACTTTTATAAAAAGCATTTTGTAAGAGTATCATTACTCTTATTTTATAGATGACCGTATGTATATTAACAAAATGTAAGATATAAATTTTGTATTTGTATAATAGGATAAGAACATCAATGAAGATTGATCTGATGGTAAGAAAACAAATTTGCAAATTTGTAATTGACAAAGGGTTGTTTGATTTCAGAAAATTATTTTTGTATTTATTTTATTTTATTTTTAATTATAAACTTTTTTATATTGTTGTGTTTTCAAATGTTATTTTTATTATTCTGTATAAATTTTAAAAACAACAGAATAAAAAAAAATAAGGTAACAAAATTTGTAATTAAAAATGAAAATAGAAAACAAAAATAAAAAAACATTTTCTGAACTCAAATAGTTCCTCAGCTTTTTTATATTGCCAATTCCGTGCGTACACTAATAGCTCGAGATCATGTAATGATTTTTCATTTGATTGTTCGTTGAATTAACATATAGATATTGTTCTTAGGTTTACGATGGATATCTAGACTCTAGAATCCAGATTTTAAGGAAATGCTATCAACAACTGAACACTTCAAAGTAGCTTCTGGGGTCTTAAACAAGCTTTACATGCACTGGCTCCAACCTACATGTTGAATAGGAAAATGAAATGCACACTGTACTTTCTCCAAAAATAAGTTTAAAAGATAGAATCTTTAAAGTTACAGGTTACAGAATAGTGAAAAACAAAAATATAAATAGTAGTATACTAAGAGACCCAATTCTCCCATTCCCATAAAGGCCAGCACAATCTGTCTGGATCATGATTTTGAATTTGCAATCTCCATTTGAAGGATCTTTGTCAGTGACCACAGAAAGGCCAGGGAATTTGCAAGCACTATCCATCTGGTCATTCACCTGAAAGTAGCTATTAAATGCATAAGAGATATTACCGCGAGCATCTAAATTTCCACATGAAGTACCATAACCAAGACTGGTGCAATCTGCATTTTGACAAGCATAAGACACACTTGGTGCCACTTGATCATCATTGAGGTTTGCTGAGGGCTTCAAAATACACCACTTTTTGGGAAGATATGATATCCCAGTAGCACCCACTAAACCATTTGCCCTTGATCCAATGTTAAGCTGGTATTTTGGTTGCCCATCATAGTAAAACAACCCCCAATGACGTTCGAAATTACCCGGCTGAATGCTTTTGTTATCTTCATCTATGAAACTAAACAAGTAAGCATCCATGGGACCAGGCCTCATTGGAGTCCCCTTTCCGGCAATGTAGCGTGACATAAAGCCTTGGTTGAAACGTTGTGCAAATTGAAGATTTGCATTTCTGTCTCCATCTGTAGGCCACCCAATTTCCCCTACAATTATGGGCATGTTTCCAAAACCATTCTTCTGCAATGCCCATACTAGAGTATCATGGTTAGCATCAAAGACATTGTCATAGATCTTTCCATTGTCATTTATAGGAGTCTGAAAGCCATTGAAAAAGGCATAGTCAACAGGAAAATTGGGATCTGCATAAAGGCTGATAAAAGGATAGATGTTCACTGTAAATGGAGCATTATTCTGGCTCAAGAACTTGACAATCTGCAGCATGACATCATGGATGTTTTGCCTGAAGTCGCCATCCGATGGTACTTGTGCACTCTGATACACATCAGCATTCAAGGGAACTGTGACTTTAACCCGATTGCCTAAACCAGCTTTTACAAGAGCTGATTGGATGTTTTGAAGAGCTGGAAGTGTTGTGGCTTCAAAAGTACCATTGTAAGTTGACAAGAAAGGTTCATTTCCCACTGCCACATACCTTGAAAAAATTACAAGAAATAATGTCTGAGAAAACATAGTCGATCGCAACATTGACATGTATAGTCAATAATTTGACAATTGAAGAAATACGATCGGCAATAGCAGATAAAGAATGAAAACACATTGCAAGAGAAAATACGATTGTGCAAGTTATGTCTTTTGGCAGGAAGTACCAGAAACATTTCTAAAGTCGAAGACACAGTTTTCCTTGATTCCTTTCCTTAAGAAAGCAAATATTTCTATCTAATTCCCTATGAGATCTAACTACCCTCAAACTCCAAGAAATCTAGGAAGACATTGCAATTTATAAATACAACAGGTTAAACAATCATATTATGTTTTATCACCAGCTGATACTGATGGATATCAATAAACCATGTCCTACTTTTATGTTCTCGTTTCATCTCACATTGGTAACAGCTTAATACAAAAGAATTTAGCATCATATCTGAATCACTCTTATGCAACTATAAGCAAGAAAGTAAAGACACGAAGGGATCAACACTAAGGATAATAAGGACTAGAGAAGAACAACCACTCATATCATGTTAACTTGGAATAAATGTAAATGAACCTTGCTGCTGTGAATATGATGTTAAAATTACAAATAGGATAGTGACACCCACTCAAAAGTTTTAAATAGCATGATCGATTCATAGAATATATAATTTGTAATTTGTGAACGATGAGGAAACAAGGGGCATCCCATGTTTTGCAGACATCAATACTACAATGCCATTAATGAAGGCAGAGAATAGATAACAAGCAGGATAAATCTTAAGTCATCAAAAACAATTTTTTCCAACAATTGCAGAATAACCTCATTTAAGAAAAATAATTGTGCATGTGCTTTGGCGATGGATTGGTGGAAATGAAAGAAAAAGACATTCAGCTGACATGTATAAGGATCTAATTCCTCCATTGACAAATTCATAGAAAAACCTATACTTAGCTTTCCAAAGCACTGAATGAAGAAAAGAAATGCAAAATATTTTAGGGGCTAATATATTGCCGCATAATTTGGTATTAAGAACCACAAACATTGTACATTACTAATAAAACACAACATAATTGGGTTTTGTCTTATTGCAAGTATTTAGTCTTTACTAATTTCAACTTAGCTGACAAATTACTTTACTAATTTGTCAACTAAGAGTACACAATGTTTTCTGTCATGTAAATTTTGACCCACTTTCAGACGCAGATGAATGTTAAATTAAAGGAACATAGATTCAATCCATTTAATTATCAATGGGGTGCTGGTTCCCAAGATCAACATACAGTTGATGTTTGAAACGAATAATTTAGTAGCGAAATCTACCATCAAATCCGATAATGAATGAGTGGAAGAAGGTCATTGGACAATGGTACGGCACAAGTAGAACCCGTGATACGATATGTTGAGAACCACAAACATTGCGAAATACTTTGATGTATAAATGAAGTTTGTTAGCTGAAGACACATTAATGCTATTTACATTACATCTCTAAAAGAAATCCTGTGTTCGGAAAGTTATAAATAAAAGTGGATTTAATTTTCAAATACCTTTTATTGTACTAGTGTACAAATAGAAGCTCACTCAAGCTTGATTGGATTGATTTCTAAACAAAATCAAATGAATTAGAATAGATTTTTAAATCAAACCAAGTCAATCCTATTAAATGAAATCAAATTAACTCTACTTTTTAATGATTCCAAACACATTGCAACGGATTCCACCGAGTATTCAACTAAAATTACATCAAGGAAAGGCATGCAATCTCTATCCATTGCAAGTCTCTTCTAGTTGAAAATAATTATTCTATAATTGTGTTGTATCATTACAACTCAAAAGCACAGATAACACAGCCGAACATGAAATGCAGAGTTACATAGCTGAATCACTTAATACGTTCACCAACAGTTGAACTTAACACAAATTAGTCAATAGAGAGTAGAGACAAAAGGGTTTACCTGATGTCTACTCCACCGGATGAGACATGTGCTGAAACATTCTTGGAAACCCACTTTTCTGCTGCTTGCACACTGTTAGCCAGTGTGTAGAGCATGTCATTTGGGATACCCACCATCACCTGAATCCCAGACTTTTTTAGAGCATCTAAAATATCAGGATCAGCATCAAAAAGCTTAACTTGCTGAATACCATTGTCTTTCAGCATTTTCACCACAGTGGATGGTGGCAAAGGGTGTGTTGCTTGTGTGCCCCAATTAACACCAATTCCACCCACTAAACCCACCAAAAGGGCACCAAAGAGCATAAGAACAAAGCAACCCTTAAAATTTCCAACCCCCATCAACTCTGGACCAAGATAACCAGAATCAGGACCAATATAGAAAAACCAAATCTATGCTCTTTTGTAACAGTATATCGAAGTTGAAGCCCAAAGATGCTTTTTTTATTTCCGGGCTTTGACAAGTTTGTTGATTTATTCTCCAACCAGCCTTGGAAATCAAAAGCTGGGGAGCTGAAAAAAACACAGCCTCAAGAACTGTTCAAGCACACACACTGAACATTTTTCATAGCAGAAGACTAGTCCACAGTGAAGAATAAGTTTAAGAAGATACCAAGGTGAATCAGCGATACAAAAGCAAAATCACAACTGTGGAAAGTTACAAGCAAAGGCCCCAGATGGAAATTCTCAGAAAGTAACAAAGTTGAAGGGCTTAAAAGCCAAGCAGAAAAGCTAAAAACAGATCTCTTTAGATTGCAGGAACCTTTTGTTATGTTGTGCGCTTTAACTAATAGCTTAGCTGCTTCCAAATAACAGTAGAGAGAGAAAGAGAGGAAGGATGAGTAGAGAGAGAAAGATGGAGAGAGAGAGGAACTGCTTCAGTGAATTATGAGAGAGAAGCTTAACGGTGGAGAATCTTTATTCTTTGGGTGAAGTAAGAAGCCAAGCGTTCACAGCAGAGTGATACCTCACTTTGTCAAGAAAATTATAGAAAACACCAAATGGTTAAATGAGTTTATTATAATACCTTTTTTTTATTGCTTCTACCAGAAATATAATAAATATTTATGTATAATAACTTTTGTATATAAATTATAAATAATATAAAATTTAATATATTAATAATAATAATTTTTCCTTGTATATCTTTTGTTCAATATTAAAAATATAGATTATAATATAGTATTATTTTCTAATAAAACAAACTCACTGATTGCTGAAGCACACAAAGTTCAATTTCTTTGCGGTTGTGGCCGTCCCCAGAGTGGCGTGTTATGTGCTTTTCTCTCTTTATGTTTTATTAATGCCATGCTTTGCTCTGCTTCACTAAGCACTAAGCACTATGCACTAAGCACCAAGCATCAGAACTGAAATGAGGCAAACAGAAGAACTTGTAACAGTTTTTAATGCACCTTTGATGGAATTAATAAACAATATTTTTAATTATAAAATACTTTTAAATTTTTAATCAGTATTTTTTATATTTTTATTGAAGTTTATTAAAAATTGTAAAATTATATTATTTACCTTTCATGTCTATCTATCTAAAATTTATTATTATTTTTTATTTAAACTGCATCCATCCTTCATTTAAAAAATGTTTAAAATAATTTTTATTGATTTATCCACATGTCTGACAATAGATTTATTATTATTTTAAAAATTGTTAACAAAGTATTTATATTAAGTAACTAAAAAGTCAAAAGACATCCACTAATAAAGATGTATTAAAAATTACTAAAAAATGATGAATTATTTTATCAATTTCGAAACAGATTATGAAATTTGAAGTGTGAGAGAGTTGAGAGTAGCAGGGAAAGAGAAAAAAAGAGTGGTTTGCATATAATAATAAGAAGAAGAACAATAATCTTAACGTTGAAGGCTTCGAGGCATTTGTCTGGTCGTCGTTGTCCAATCTGCAATGCCTCTCTTCTGCTTATCCAAACAGAAAGTTAAGTTTGCTTTTATTAATGTCTAAAGTTTATGAAAATATATATATATATATAAATTAATCGAATTTTATTCTTTTTATTTTTAAATTAATTTTTATACTTTTTTAATTTTTAATAAATTTTAACTAATAAAAAAATGTATTAGAAAATATGAGTGTTACTATTTTCAGCACACTCTCACTTCACGTCTTCTTCTCCTGTTCCTTTTTCACCCAGTCAACCATGCTTATCCTTACACACATGTACTGAAAAAATATTTTAATTAAAAATTATACATAATAATATTAAATGTTATAATTTTAATATAAATTTATTATCTATTCACTTTTATCACACATCTTTAAATATATTTTTTTAAAAATTAATATTAACTCCATAAAATTAAATATTTAAAATTAATAATTTTTTATTGAAAAATACATTTATTATGTTGAAATTATGAAAGTATTATAAATATGTCCATTAGTTATATAAATACAAATTTAAAAACTGGAGTTAATCTTTTTCAAAGAATAATTAAAAAAATATTTTTTAAAGTGCATCTATTAATATATAATAAAATTTAACAAATAATAATTTTTTTATTTTTAATAACAGTTATTATATGTGAGTTTTTAATGTGTATCCTAAAATTACATTAAAATTTTGAAATAAAAATCCTAATACGTGTCTTATTAAAAAAAATCATTAGAAAATATAATTTTCAATGTGTTATAAATGGAATTTTCCCTAAAAATGTTTATTAAATTTTTAAAATGATTTTAATAAAACGAGTTATCAAGACTCGTGTTTAAATTGAGGTATAAAGATTACGAGTGTGGCTTAATTTTCGATCTTTTTTAACGGGATTGTTTTAAACATGTATCTAATTTAATGATAAGCTAATTACTATTGGATATACAATAAAAAAATCAATAAATAATAATTTTTAATTAAAAATCTCTGATTTTTTTAACTCTTGCTTGTTTTGTGTGTTGAAAAATTAAGTTTTGTAATTTTCTTTTTATAAAAATGACATGTTTCGACATAAATTTATTATTAATGAGCCACAAATAATAAATAAAAACCTGCCTATGAGATTGCGTCAAATTCTCCGCTTCTATATCAATGGATGCATATCACTTATGAGATTGTAATGCTAATTTTATAGTTTCTTTTTAATGGAAGAAAAATATTTTGTATTAAAAAACATTCAAGAGAATTCTCATTAGTTGGGGCTAATTACTCACGTTAATATCTTCTTTGTCACTTTAAAATCTTTATTATTATTTATATTTAAAATGTTTATTTAATGCTATTATTATTAATTTAATTAACTAATTAAAAAATTTAAATAATAATAAATATTTTAGAGTGATAATGAACTTATCGTTTTAAAGAAAAAATTATCCTTATTATTATATATTTATTGTCACTTTAATTTTAAAAAATAAACCTCTTTGTTAATAATTTGATGAACATAATAAAAATATTTTAAATAAAAATAATAATAAACATTTTGAGTAACAATAAATATATCATACCGTCATTCTCTCCTTTTTAAGGATAAATTTTTAAAAAAATATTATTTTTTATAATTTCGAGTCAACAAAAATATTTTTTATATTCATAAATTGGATAAAAAAGATAGAATTTCCAATTTTATGTTTTACAAGAAAAAAACAAAAAAAAGTGAGAAAAGAGAAAAATGACAAAAGAATAAATTACTAAAAAAATATTAAAAATGTATAAAAATAATAAAAGTCTAGGATAACTTTATATTTATTCAGAGAATAAGAGAATTTTTATTTTTAATCAAATTGATTATTTAAAAAATATATTAAATTATCTTCATTGATAATAATTGAAAAATCGTTTGTATGTTATTTTTAAAATAAGACAATTATAGGATCAAAAGCGAGAAATATATATTAAATATATTTACAATAAATTTCAATTACTTGAAAAATGACTAATATTTAGATAAATATCATATATTTTTCAAAGAAAATTATTTTAATTTAACTTGTAGTCTTAATAAAATAACTCAAATAAAATTATTTTCAGTAAATATTTTTATAAAATTTATAACTATATTAAGTTTCGATGACGTGTACGTAATAATATATGTTAAAAACATTTATTATCCTAAATTATAAAAACTATTTAATATATATATTTTATAATGATTTCAACATTCAATATAAAATGTTTAATACTTAATTCATTTTCTTTACGCACGTTTTAAAAACCGATCTGTATTTATGAGTAGTCAAATTTACATTAATTTTCATATTTATTTAACGCTGCGGGAAATGCGATATTCATGAGTCATCAATAATGTTGTGAAGGCATCGTTCCTTTAACTGATAAATTTGCACACCTTGTTTGTTTCTGCACAACTTAACCTTCTACTCATGTTAGATTGCATACGTCTTGCAAATGTACCAACCATTTAAGTTAAATAAAGGAATCATAAAAATAACTTTTTAATAAGTAATGTGTTACAGAGGTAAATTAAACTCATCACAACAAGGCAAAATAAAGCAAAATAGAATTTTGAAATGACATTGTAAAAAGCAATCTACTCGGCATCTTTTTTCTTCTTGGGCATTCTGTATCCACCAACAACACAGGCATGGTCCCTCTCAAATGGTTCAAGAGTGACTTGTTCCGAAGGCTTAAATTGGTCTGCCTTCAGCTTGTTGACTTCACTAGCAAACACGGACTCAGCAGGGACGGTGGAGTCAATGCAATTAGCCTAACATACACAAATGAACTGAGTGAGCATGATTTAATACCATCAGCATATAACTGAAGACACAACCCACCACTTTACACCTTCACTTGCAATCTACCAACCAAAGAACCATAACATAAATTTAAAATTGTCATGAAAAAATTGTTTACGATGTTAAAAAACAGGGGGAAAGACTTCACACAAAATACAGGGTCACCCTTTCGACAATGTTCTCCACACTTGCCCCTTATTATGACAAGTCACACCACCCAATTTTCTTACAAAAACATGAATAAATTTCTGAACAAACCTTAATTGAAATGACAAAATGACCCCCTGCTTTGAGATAATATGAAGCATTCAATCCCAAAATCCTTGCCTGCAATGGTCACACAGAAATCATAAACAAAACTGATCAATACACTAACTTGATTTTCAATCTCCTTGTTGGTTGACAAGTGTTCTAAAAAAACTTCATCTTCCAATAGAATTCATTTTTATAAAAGTATAAACAAGCAAGAAATACACAAAATTGAAAACTAACAGCCCAAACAGTAAATACACCAATACCACATTTATTAATAACAGTAAATTAAAAATTCAGTAATTATAGGTATCAAACAGGTATACATGCAATGATCAAAGAAAAGTAAACCGCCCATCACTGAATTAAAATTAAAATAATCAGACATTATATACAAAAACAAATTAAAGAAATTGAAGTGCATCAGAAACTCGGGTCTACATCATCCAAAATGTCTTGAAGGGGAATCCGAGTATAACTCATCATATGCACTGATTATCCCATATTGAACCACTGTGTAATGAATAGTAAAAATGAAAACAATGACTATATGGCAATAAAGACTGAAAAACATCGACTTTGTATAACACTACTAATAAATGTGCTGTAACTGTAACAAGGATAGAACCACCCTCAAGAGTATCGTAAGAAATTTACACCTGATCGGGTTGGGCAACATCAGAAAATATCACATCTACCATGCCAACCAACATTCTGTACTTAGCTGGATGTCTAGCATCTTCAATAATGGGTATGACATTAGTCCGCTTCTTTGCCATATTAACCAAGTCACGTCCACTTCTATGGGAAAATTCTACTGCATATACAACTCCAGTCTATAAAGCGATAAGTACTATAAACAGCCTTTTTAAACAACAAATGCAAAGATAATGCAATTTTGTACTTGAACTTGAACTTACTGGGCCAACAACGTCCGACACATGAGAAACAGTTGTTCCAGAAGCAGCTCCTAGGTAAAGAACCCGAGCTCCAGGTTTCTTTATTAGTAAAACAAT